TCTTTGCATCTAGCACCCGGCACCGTCCACGCCGGGCTGCACCGCCCATCGTATTTGTTTATTGGGCTCTCTACTTGGGTGCTTTATGTGTTCTGCTGATGGCGTTGCTTCCTTTGCTCCTTTTTTGCAGCTTGCAGTCTGGAGCTCTCTTAACGTAGTTGCCTCGGACTAGGTTCGGTTTTAATGGTTAGGCTGCTCGGTAAGTGGCCAAAGGCCGCATAAAAATGATGATGGTCGCAAGGGTCGAAAGTTTCAAGAAATTCAATGAATTCCAATTACGCGAAAGACAAGCCTTTAATATAGTCCCTTTAAATCAATCCCTGATCTTTTATCACTTCCATTTTGTTTGTTGTTTAAATGGATTTAATACTGAAAATTTGTAAAACCTCAACAAATTTTGCACGGATATTACTTTCTCTTAAAAGGTTCATTAAAGTGTGTGCAATTTCTCCGACTTCAGAAATATATTACTTCTAGATCAGCTAAACCAATTTTTGGATTGACTTTTAAGCGAATAATTGCACTAAAAACATTTGGTTGGAATTAACCATGCGGAAACTGTAATAAGAGAAACGTCTAACTAGAGATACAGCTTCTATTGGAAGGATCGGGAGAATTGCGAGCATATGTTGATAAATACTCTTGGAAGATGTTGCACCAGCTAATAAAATTTCATTAATTTTCAGAGATTGCCGGGGCTGCTGTGATTGCAGTCATTTTCGCGAAGAATTTTGAATGTTTTCACAATATATGCAACAGCAGCAACAACAATAACAGTGTTAACAATAATATTTACAACAATGCAATGCGCAAGCGGATGCACCGATGGGCCTGGCACACTTCGCGGCTCGTTAATCAATTAAAAACATTTGAGAATTTGCATAAACAATTTCGACACCGCCATTGTCATAATTTCTCCACTTGCTAGCCGGTTTGTTTACACGGACAGCTGGACAGTGGTCCGCCCGTTTTGCGAATGTGGAAAACAAAAATTGATTAAAACATCACGTAATCGCAATCGCAGTCGCCGGAGTCCGAGTCGTCAAACGGCGCCAACATCAACGCGGACGTCGCCGTCAGTTGTTTGAGCTTCTGACACGAGAAGCGTTCGACGAAGCTGGAATGTTGCACGTACGCGTGTGGCTTCTACTTATAATACAAGCAGCTCGGTGCGCTATAATATGAATATAAATTTGAATCAATTCAAGTAAAGTTCTGCGAATTTGCAGTTGATTCAGCATTGGAGCATTGCCGGGAATTCAAATTGTGCTCATCAGGGGGGTGACCGAGGCGTTCAATTGTAGAGTGCCTATTAAGAGCCGCACAGCGTATGACAAATTGTTCGCCGATTATGATGACGGGCTTTGACCGACTGACTCACAATGGGACACCAATTGACTAACCTGACCCAGCATCTTATCAACATCACCATAAATAAACCAAAGGGACTCCGTAAATTCGGATTCCTGGCGCAGCTTTAACGCCAACAGCCAGATCCAGAGCCAAGAACGGACAGGCAGACACCGTAACTCTTTGCTGCAGTCTTCATAAATTTCATTTTTACATGCAGAAAATGTCAGTGCCCCGACCGGGACGCCAGTCCGTTGGCTGGCCAAATATGGTTAATGACTTGTTTGTGTGTTGGATTAAATATAAATTATATTTTTTGTGGCATGCTCGAGTCTGGCGGTGGAGGGGGCTGGCACGGCACGGCATGGCATGGCAGGGCAGGCAAATGCGAGAATAAGTAACAAGAACCAGTTTCGTATTGCAGCATGATTAAAATTTTATTCCAATGAAATTTGTTTGCATGCCCGAACCGAAAAGCTGCAAGCAAATTAAAACAGTACAAAAGTACTGCAGAGACTATGGACCAGCGCATACGGGAATGCCTCTATCATAATTCATTTTTAGTTGATTCCCCAAAGTGTTTTGCCTGTGCTACTTTCAATCAATTGCTGCATTGATAAATCTCAATAAACTTCAAAGTATGTCAGCTTAATTGATATTAAATTGAAAACAAAGCTGGCATTAAGCATATTCCATATAGTAATTTTTGTTGAGCAAAATGATTAGACTAACTGCTGTACGATTTTGATTTATTGCTTGGAAACGAACTGGGCTCAAAATCAAATAGACTAATCAAAAATATGAGTTCCAAAATTGCAGCTATTATCAGGCTCGAATTCAGTGTGTCATTTGGGTCAATTAATCAAGGAATACAGAAAGGTTACCAAAAAACATTTCGGCCCTTAACATACGACCCGAAATTTATCAAAATGTTAAAAAAGGCTGCACACACAACACACACAACACACAAAAAAAAAACTTAATTTACAATGAAAATGTGTGGAAATGTGCTACGAGTGCGTAACCATACGAAAAAAAGGGCAACACTTGCAATAAAAAATTGACCAAAACATAAGTTCAATGGTGCGTATGAGTAATATGTATGTGGAAAGCAGGGAGTGCTAGCCAGAATACTGGATACGAAATATGTTTCGAAATAAATAAAAATATGCGTGCGAACAGGGCCACAGTAAAAATGATGTGCTCTTAGTCCTGTGAACATCAAACGAGGACGAAGACGCCGACGACGACGACGGCGACAGGAAACTGCATGAAATTGCTCAAGTTGCCGGCTAAAAGCAGGGGTCACAGACGGGGCCCAAAGTTGCTGGCAAGCGAACTTGAGAGCTGCCGACGATCAATAATTTCCACACAAAGTTATGCAAAGCTGTCAGCCAGGACGGACCAAAATCCCTGCACATGTTTATGAAAATGTAAACGAACGAAACATCGAAAATCTGCAGCCGGAAATCGAATGTCTGTCAGTGAGAAATTTATATAAATAGCAGCAGGGCGAGTTAGTAAGTAGCTTGGCCGAAGCCGAGGCTCTGGCGCTGGGCCATTTCAACTGCGGCTCCTACCGAGAGTCCAGTGCTTCCAGCGCTGATGCCACCCGCACCGACATAATTTATGCAAATAAGTCGGCACACGCATGTCTGGCAACGGCACCAACACTCTTCCCTAGCGGCTGGCCAATGAATCATATGGCAAAAGGAATTGGACAGCTACTGCAGCAGCTTTAGTAATAGGCCCGTTGGGTGCTGTCACGTGGGTCTACGCGGCGTATGGGTAATGCAGCCAGACACTCGACACTGACGATTCAAGAGTGGAAACGTCCAAAGTTTTGTGCTCAACTCTGTCAATTTCAGTGTCTGGATGTGTCTGGGAAATGCTGCCTTTTCGGGATTTCGGTTCAGGTTCGAGCTATTGTCTATGCTTTTATGCCTAATATGTTGAACCACTCTGCGGAGTCATCATAGATTCTCACCTGCAAACTGTGATAAGATAAGATAATAACGCTAAGAGTAAGTCTCTACTTAACTTTAATTAACCCACAAGCAGGCAAATTTGCAACTTGGGCACATAACATTGTGCCTAAGGATATCCTAATGATGACCTCGAGCTAATGCCGCGCCACCCCTGCTGGGCAAAGCCTGAGCCAGGCCCTGTCCAATAACATTTTGCATATAATCAAGAAGCCCATGTGCGAAGCGGCCATGCATGACCCTCTCCCTCGTCTCTCTAATGCTTCGCTTTGGGAGGCCTGCTGCTAATCCAACAACTTGACTGCCATTACACTTGGCTAAGGCCCTTGGCGAAGGCCGGCCAAAAAACCGTTCATTTGCTCAATCGTGCACTCGAAAATGTCAATTTACATTTGCGGCAGGCGATGTCCACCCCATGGCTTGACTCCCCAGTGAAATGGTAAATGGGCCATGGGCTAACTGCTTGATGCTGCTTGGGCTTGGGCTTGGGAGCCGAGCTTAAGTTGACTTTAACGCCTGAATGCATCACTGAAAAACTCGAAGAGCGACTCGGTATGCTCATAGTGAAAGTTTTCGTACCGAAAACTTTTTATTAAAGTCAGCAGAAATCTATGGGACCTGGTTCGGTTTTAAATTTCGCCTCTAAAACTCACCCAGCGGACTTATTCTTTCTCTCATTCCCCCCTCTGTCACTCTCTCTCGCACTCCCACTTTATTTCCCTGTGTGCGTTTGACAATGTGGGCGTGGCAGCTGGGCTGTCTGTTGCTCTGGTCAAGTTAATTTGTATGTGTGGCCGTAAACTTTGCCAGCTTAGACTTGCAACACGCCCAACTGGGCACTGGCGAGCTCACCGCCCGGCTGGGCAATGGATGTTCTCCGCTTTCGGACAACCTCTTTTGATATCTCAAATGTCCAGCTGCCAAGTCCAAGCGAGCAGACACTGCTCCCCACTGGTCCCCTATGCCCAGTGGCCAATGGACACAATGTGTGAATTTTGTTGGCTTATTGCTTTTGTATGCCGCATAATTGCTGACTTCTTTCACACATTCTCACACATGACTGTGCGTGAATTCTGTGTATGTCTGCTAGACGTTTTGTCCTTGAGCATTGCGCATAATTCATAAGACTGAAGAGCTCCCGATTTATGCTTCGCTGCATATCCAATGCCCACGTCGAAGGATGCCAGAGTAGCGTTAGCCTTTGGCCAGTGGCTAAAATAGATAACAAGCGAAACAGCCCCCAGGCGGGCCTTTGCTGAGCAAAGGCAACTCCCCAGGGAAACAAATGTGCCACAGTAGTAACTCAGCTGAGTGACTAATGTTGCTCGCACTCCATCAAATGCCACGACGCACTACAAAATCAATTGGTTTTCAATCGGCAATCCCGAAACACCCCGTTTCCTATGCCATTGCCTTTGTTGGGTTTCTATATCCACGCGAGGTGCAAACAGTTTGGCGCCTGGTGCACTGGCAGGGCAACAAGCTTGCTGCCAAGGCGACCTTCGCTTGCTGCATAAACAAGCTAATGGACGCATAGCAACTGGACAGCACGAAGTTATGTTTTTTCTAACCGCATTTCTTGGCATTGACACCAACTGCGTAGCATTGTGCGGATCGCAACTTGAAGCAGATTTTTGGTCTATGTGAAGCTGCTTTGGGTCTACAATGCCTTGTCTGTCGGCCTGTAATGTGCGATTTGTGAGTGCCGAAGCGCAAATCAAGCAGAAGTGCCAGGAGCTGCGGGCCCGCGCCCAGACTGCCGCATATCGGACGGCACCTAGAGGATATAGACCATTTACTTCTGTGGCTCCTAATCCAAGCTTTGCGCCTTTTCGTAGACGCAGCGAGCAGTTTGCTGCCTTCGATCAAAAGCAGCTAAAGCGCAATGAACGGGAACGAAGACGCAATCAGGGCGCCAAGGAGCTTGTACTGCGACCCAGCGATCTAAAGCGACTGAAGGAAAAGTGCAGGGTTGTCAGCATTCATGAGAAGTTGCAAGCCATTGAGCAGAACGAGGCGGAACACCGTAAACAGTTGCAGCTGGTGAAGGAAACAAAGCAACGCTTTAAGGAGATCGACGCCGCTCGCAAGGCGACATTACCTAAGGAGCCCGAAGAGAGTAGCATGGTCGAGGAGGCGCTAGAGGAGCAAAACACGGTGCTAAGTCGAGCCATACTGGCCAAACAGGAGCAGGAGGAGGAGGTGAAGCAAGTCAACCGGATGATTCTCGACGCCAAGTGCAAGGCAGTGCGGGAAGCACAAATCCAGGAGAAACAGCTCATGGCTAGAGCACTGCGCGAGGACGACGAACGCCTGGCCAAGATGGTCAACCAGCGAGCAAAAGAGGCTCTCAATGCTGAGGACGAGCGAGAGCGGCTCGAAATCGAAAAGCGAGCCAAATATGCACAGGAGATTCGCCAGCAGTTGACTGAGCGCGAAAACAAACGCTTCTTGGAGGCCCAGCGGGTGGCCGAAGAGGCCAAACACCTGCGCAAGGCCACCGAACTGCTGCGAGAAGAGGAGGAACGCCAGCGCAACTTTGTACAGATGCGCAAGCTTCGATTTCGCGAAGAGCTGCAGCGCATTCGCGATATGTCCCACATCTTCAAGACGATGCTCTGCGAGCAGGAGCGACTGGCGGACCTGCGGGTGGCAGCTTATATGCGCGAGAAGCAGGAGAAGGAACGCCAGCTGAAGGACATGCAGAAGGTGGTGAAAAAGGAGTTTGAGCGGAGACAGCAGCGCATCTTCACAATAGCCGCCGAGGCCCAGGAGACACGTCAGACCAACGAAGAGCTCAAGTATCTCAAAGAACGCAATCGAGTGGAGCGCGAGTATCGCCAACGGGAGAAGGAAGTGGCTATGGCAAAGCGGGAGGCCGAACGCGATCTGTTAGAGTCGCGTGCCCAGCAAGCACAGGAAATGAAGCAGCGCCTGGCCCAGGAGATAGCTCACGCCGAGCAAGATTTCAACAAGTTGCTGGCACGCATGCGCGATGAGGAGGAAAAGCAGAAAAGACTAGACCGCGAACGCGACCTGCGCACCCAGACATATCGGCGTGACCTGAAGCAACAAATGACGGACAGGCAGGAGGAACGCCGCCGGCTAGCGGACATCGAACATGAGCGCATGCAGAAGTGGTTGGAGGAGGACCGACTGCGGGATGCCAATATCAAGCAGGTAATCAGCTCCAAAATTGCAGCCATGCGCGACAATTGTCTGCCCGAAAAGTACTTGAAGGAAGTCGAGAAGCAGCTCAAGAACATCCAAGGCACTCGCAATAGAATTCGTTGACTCCCATAATAGACGTGCACTGCATAGCTTTGGGCGTTGCCTTCTGGCATTGGACACAAATTTCAGATATTGAACACCGCCCTTAACTATGCAATGTTGTTTAATAAATCATCAGTTAAGATACCTAAATCAGCATTTTGGCTGATTTACACAAATTACGAAAATTATACAATCATGACAAAATTTTTAATAAAGGCGCCTGTGCTTAAATACTTGATTTCGATTGCAGACAAGGCTTGAACATGCATTTGAGCTTGAATTGATGTAATGAAATTGAAGGTTCTCGTTGTGTGGCATTTAATAAGCTCTCCCGTAACTCGATATTAGTCGGCATTTTAAACCGCCGCCTGAAAGTATGCCCCACAACTTTGAGCCACCCGCAAGCCGCAGCTTAAATTAGTGGAAATGAAATCAAAGACATTGACGATGATAACCATGACATTGTTGCGTGCGACACAGTTAGGCACACCCATTCCCACACACAAAGCGTTAATTTCTTAGCATGTGGGTGTTTAGTTTGCCATTCTCTCAATCTATCTATCCAATGGCTCCCGGAGGCAAGCACACACACACACACACACACACACACACACCACAAACAATTACGAGTGCTGCACATGCCAAAAAACTACCCCGCACTCCCCTGAATGAGTGGTAGCAACTTTTGGCTACAATAAAATTTTATTATGCCAGACACATACGTGGCCACGCACACATATACACACAAATAGAGGGGCAAACAAAGCAGCCACCGATGCTGAAAGTTGAAGATGCCTCCTCTACTGCCTGACGACGTCGACGTCGACGTCAACGTCGACGACGAAGTCTTGTGCATGGTTCAATTATCGTATTTCATGATTCGTTAAATTTTCGCATACGCCAAAAAATACGCAAGACATTGCCAGGGACCCACAGCTTGCCCTCCACCACTTCCCGGCTGCTCTGCTGGTGGGCAAAGAAAATCCAAACTGAAAAACAGGTTTTTCCCCTAGCAACCATTGTGATGTCTACCTACAATGAAGCTGACGCTGGAGACGGGCTGCAAAACTGGCAGACTAGCTGGCTGCCTCGCATGTGGCAGTAATAATTCCAATGACAATAAACGTTGTCGTATTTACAAGTACCAACACACGTACACACATTTTCTACACACACATCAGCACTCTGACATGAATTGATGAGAAAAGTTTTTGAGGAAATGTCAATAGAGTAGCAGAGACAAACTATGCGTCGATGTAAGGAGAAGTCTGTGTCACAGTGGTAAAATGAGAAGAGATTACACAAAATATATTTCGTATTCATAGAGTAAAGATCGCAATTGATATTAAAAGGTGATGATAAGTCGGCTACTCGATAAATATTTACCAACTTGCGATAAAATAAGTTAATCTACAGCCGCATATCATTTATATAAAGACGTTCTTTCCCATTCTTGAATTCAACAGTACGCCAGAACATCGATCAATCATCGAAATATTGATTAAAAATTTATTTTTTTATTTTATTTACGTATTTTATTTAATTAAAGTCTGTATGGTACACAGAAAGTACTCTCCGGAATCGGAAAAAAAAATAATATTTGATATCAGAATTGAATTTGCCCACTGTTCAACATATTTGCCATTTATAAATATCATGAGTGGCAAAAGGTAAAAAGGCAAGAAAACAGATATTGTAATTGGAAAAAAGGGAGGAAAATTGCAGCAGCTGCAGTGCACTGCACTGAATACTTTTGGGGACCCACCCACAGTCGAAATTTATCTGCAAGATTGCACTCAATTGTTTTGTATTTGTGGAGAGGGAGATATTTCTGCTGCTATACCAGTATCTAAGAGTAGCTACGATTTTTGTGCTTGAAAATAAATTGCTTGGCTTCAGTTTTGCGTGTTATTTCTATGGCTTTTCTGTGCGGTTCCGTTTCGGTCCCATATTTTATGCGCTCCGCTAAACCACAATGGACTTTTGTTGTACTTGTAGGTCGTTCAAAACGGCAGATATCCGTAATGTATCCGCATCTAGCTTAGTGTATTCATATCTAGGTGACTAGGTAATGCGCCTCAATTGCGCAAATTTAAACATCAATCGCTGGCTGACAAGCTAAAAAATGGGATGGGGCTAAAATCAATATAAATTGGCAATTCTCTTGATTATGCCAGTACCAAAATAAATTAGTGGAAAGCGAATTGATGGAACTCAAGCAGAGCATGCCAGGAAATTGACTTCAAACGAAAGATTCCAATACTCAAATAACAAAATGGAATATTTAAAAATAAATAAAATTAGATACATGCACCTGCTGTCTTTTCAATTAAAAATTCCAGCTGGAACTTTTGTTTACTACACAGTTAAGGTTTCTGGCGCCAAATATTGAAATTGTCGAATCACAATAGAGCTTTGTTTATTTTGATTTACTTATCAGTAGAGTTATGCGAAATGAAACACGCTTCCATTGTTTTCAAGCATACTATGCTGCTACGACTAGACGCCTGCTTAGTGTACACAAATGTGTACTATGCGTCCTTATCAAGTGATTAGATAGGAAACACTTCTAGATACTCATACAAAGTGTACCTGTTTGTCGTGTGTCTACAGAGTATATTAGAACTACAATTACATATTGGTTTTATCGACAACAGCTATCAGAAATGCGCCTGGTCTTTGCCTTATCTGGCGCTCTTTTATCTGTGGCTGGCTTATAAGAAATTGCGATCAGGCACAAGATAAGTTTCCAAGAAATTATTATTAACAGACATGTGGAAATATTTGAAATACTTAAGAAGTAAGTCTGACCTCCCAGTAGAGACAATATAAATATCTATTAACTCTTGGTAGATTTTTGAGCTTGAAAAATGGAATTTAATAAATCAATTTAACAATAATTGGTTAATTTATTTTAAAGCACAAACAGTGGACACTCGACAACTAAAGCAAACAAAATCTGACAAAAGCTAAACATAATTAACATAAAACAAATAATTGTAAATAGTTCTGTTCATAAATCGTGCGGCTTATAAATCTTAAATGTGGCCTAGCACATTTTTCTTGTTTATAATTTATTTATTTCTATTTTTTGTACACTATTTTTAATGCCTTATCAACTGTACGACTATCGCAGAGCATTCAAAACTATTCGACGCCGGCGGCAGTCAGCGTCGCTGCCAGAAGATTGTATCAGCTGATTGGGAAGCAAGCTGCATGCCTCATGCCGCATGCCACATGCTGCCGCTGGCCATCTGCCCACTTCAAAGTGGCGGCTGCGACATGACTGCGGCATTGTTTGCAAAACAAACATGCTGCAGCCGAAAAGTAGCCGCCTTTACCAGACGGGGTAATTGCAACGACACCATAATATCGCTGGCTCGGCAAGTACAATGGGTGCGATTGCGAAATTGCGATAATGCGGGCTAAATCGAAACTCTAGGAAAACGCTGTGCAAATAAATACAGAGTGTACAATGAATCGCTAACACGCCATGAATTTTGAAACAAATCTTCAATCGTGGACAATTTTGCCTGGACGTCCCACTGTGCGGCCGCAGCGTTGCCAGATGGACGTATAGCCATTGCACAATGTCGCCGTCTCCGTCGCCGTCGCCTTGGATTTCGTAAATCATTTAGCTTAAAGCAGTATGTGCATATCAGGTAAACAGTGCGTGGCGCGCTTATCACATATTTCGTTTGCGTCGATTTCTAATGGAAAAATAGTCGAAGTAGCTGCCGCATTGCATTGTCAGCAGCGGACCGGCCCCATCCCATAGATAAGTCTCTGCCGGCTGTCGGCTTAGACCACATTTGGCAAGCATGCGGCAAGCGGCAGCTCTGGCGGCCCAGTTCCAGCGGGCGGTGGCGTTGGGGCACGTGATGTAGGCGGCTTGTAGCTATCGACGTCGTCGGCCTCGTCGTCATCGTGATCGTCAACATTGTGGGGTCCACAGTCCAGTGCAGTTGTGTTGGAGGAGGTCGCAACCGCAGCCGCAGCCAGAAAATGCACCTTTGTTGAAGACGTCGAATTATTATTCTCGGCCAGAAGCTGATGGTGTAGATGATGGTGGCGATGGTGGCAACCGCTGCAGCTGGTAGGCGCGCACATGTAGCCCAGCGCAACCGGGCTGGCCGCGTGGGGCCGCGCATGCAACAGATCGCCCACATAAATAGCCGTGATTGTGGCATAGACAACGCCCAGAAAAGCGCCCGCCAGCACGTCGGACCAGTGGTGCCAGTAGTCGGCGACGCGGCTCAGCGAGATGTACCAGGCGGCCATGAGCAGCAGGAACTGGAGAATGTGCCGCATGACGCGCATGCTGCCACGCCCCTGCCACACGCTGTGCACGTAGAACGCCAGCAGGCACATGGAGTAGAAACTAAGGCTGCTGTGCGCGCTGGGAAAGCTCACGTGCAGCTCGCGTATTTGCTGTGCGGAGAGATTGCGATTGCTGCAGTAAAACTGCTGCATGTAGATTTCCGCATTTTGGGCGTCCGCACAGCCGGTGCCATCGGGCAGCCGCGGCTGGCAGGCATTGTAAAAATGCGGACGTAGTCGACCCACCACGTGCTTGGCCAGCTCCGTGGTCAAGAAGGTGGCGATGAAGCCAAAGCTGAACGTTGCCTGCGCGCGCCACAGATTCCGCAAATATTGCCGCATGCGCAAATGCCGACAGCTCCGCATTATCTCCACGACGCAGATGAAAAGCATGGGTAGCAGCAGCATCATTACCAGCAGCATGGGCACCGTGATGGTGCACTCGTGGTACGGGTAACGTAGGGATAGATCCGAGCAGAAGAAGCCGCGCTTGAATGTGCGCATGTTGATTGATTAGTGTTTCAGAGTAAATTCGGAGTTGGCTTTTTATTATGTATTAGGCGCGGGTTTTGGAGCAAATTCGGAGTTTTCTAGATTTTCCAAGGAATTGTCCTTTTATATTACGGGGTTCAGTTGGAAATCCAACGTAAGAAAATACTGCTATGTAATTGAGTTCGGAGTTAGTATTATGCGAATAATCCACAGTTAATTCCTATTATTTCGTAGCAAATTATTTTGAATTGCGCGACGTAAAACAATTATTGTTTTGTTTTTAAAATCCTTATCGCTCAGCTTGAACTGAGCTAGCCACACGGTGAAATTTCGAAGCATCTGCTACAAGAACAACAATTTTTGCGGGTTGAGGTTTTTAATCAACAAATTTTCACACAGCCGTGTGTCTTGTTCATTCACTTTTTCGGCACTTGACATACGAAAACTGCGCATTTATTTATACTCGTAGATTTAACAATTCGATTTGCTTTCTAAATCTGCTACACGACTTTTCACGTTCACGTCAAAGGCAATTTTTCATTGTCCATTGTCTCTGGACGGAGTGCAGTCACAGTCGTAATTGCTTTTACAGCACTCGCGCGCTTTTTCGGAGTTTCTTTCGGAATTCAAATTATATCAATTAACTCTATTGGCCAGATAAACCATCTGTCAGTTGTACGTATCCGTCAGTTGGCTGACTGTTTGGCTCTTTGCCTGTAGGCTGTGGGCTGGCTTCCTGGGCTTCCACCAACCTCGCTGGTCGCGATCACTTCGTGGTCTATCCGGAGCTAAGCGACGAGGCTGTCGTTTTCTCTGGGAGACCGAATCTGACTGTGACTACGACTGTGAGTGCGACTGCGACGGCGGCGACGATCGTGCGGTGGGCTGCGCTGCTGCCGAGCTGCCAATAGCGAGTGTCGAGGCGCAGAACCCACAAAACCCACCACAAAGTGCTGTGGAGGAGGGTTTCCTATGTGTTGTTGTGTGGTTCGCACTGATATTGAATTTCAATGCTATGTTTTTTTTGTTTTTGTTTTCTTATCAATTTAGCTGCGTCGGCGTCGGTAGAGTCGTCAGCGCTTTCGACGGGGCTTACGACTGCTGCACTCGTATTTCTTTGCTTCGGTGTAGACGCTAATGAGGAAACTGTTGAATTGTTTCAAGGTTTGCTTTTGCACAGTTTGCTTAGGCCTGTTTGCCAGAGACTTGGTTGGCATTTGCGCATAATGAAAGAGTTGCATTTACTCGACGAATACCACGGAATGAAGGAGTGCCGCTGCCCTAGCCTGCGAGCGACGACCCGCCGCATCCCAATGCGCATCGGAGTAGGCCATTGTAACGTGACTAAGTTGGCTGCTGGGCTCTGCTCGGATCGATGACTTTATAGCGTTTGTTGATGTAGGTCGTCGGTCCAGCCTCATCTGGAAGCCAAGCTGTGCGCTGTAATGGAGACGGCGACGACGATGGTGACTGCAACTGCGACTTCGACAAATACTCCGAATGATAGTGGGTCTGGGCTTGTACACTGCAAATGCAGTTCATAAACTGTTGCAAGTTTATGGCCACTTTGTATTTTTACAGCCAATGGAGCTTCTTTATGGCAGTTTTCAACTGCTCAATTTACATAGAAATTGTCGCATTGCTGGCCATGCGCTGTTAATTTATGTTAATTTCGGAAAGCTCTCGACCAAAGCGATGCTGATCCATTTCAATTGACATGGACTTTATGGAACCATCGGTTTCTTACAAATTCTTATCACTTGCCTCGATAAGTTCAAATTTTGAAGTCTATACATGAAGTCTACGCACATGCTTTATGGGGTTGGAGAAGTCTGCTTGTGCCTGTTAACCCTATTCAATGGGTTTCAGGGTATCATTAATAGGCGAAATTTATTAAGATCTGCGTGAGTGAACCATAGACTGACTGAAATCATACGCAATTTTATCATTCAAAATCCGTTTCACAATATAACAGTTGAATGAAATATTTGTTTTATATTTATGTGGGGCAAAAAGCTCTTACAGCTCTTTCAGGCATGTGCCTGATTGTAAGCCGATAGCATTGGATTAAATACAACCACATCACATAACCACATAAATACGCCCCACTTCGAAATAATCCGCAAGCCATATCAATGAGCAACCGCAGCACGCGCCATAAAAACGATCAATGATGACCTAAGAGAGCGAGAGAGATAGAGAGAGCCAGAGCGAGAGAGCGAGAGAGAGAGAGAGAGAAGGAGGGAGAAAAACTGGATCAATACCTTTTTATCGTGGAAATGTTGCTGCCATTCAATTAACAAATATATATGAATTCTAATTAATTTCTTACACAATTTATTAAATACGCTCAGTCAGCGTAAAAGATACTGAGACTGTGTGGCCTAGCCAGGCGGAGCATACATTTTCATGCACATAATAATACTTGTAAAACATATCTGACCATGCAAAATTAGTCTATGTGTTAAAACTGTTTATCTATTAAAATTATGGAAACAGATAAGGTAATGCAAATGCATGTAACATGCAGACGAAAGCATTCCAAATACAAATTCTTGCTCAGCATGAACAGCAGAGTCGATTCAAGCCTTGTCCGCTTTTAGGGACAAACTGTTACTTGTTAATTATATCAAGTTTCTAGAACACTTTAAAAACAATAAAGTTTTAGTTTAGTTTTCCAAATGGTGAAATTGAAATGGTGTTGGAGAGTTAACGCCTGAGACCCGTCACACATTCCGATGCTCGCAAGGTTCAACAGGTGTGGATGATTAGCGAAAGGTGTAAAATAGTGCGATTACGATTGCGAATGCTGATACCCAGCGGAGAACGCGCAACACCTCCTCCCGACTGAGGCTGGGCAGCCCCTAGGAGCCCCAAGCTCGAGCTCCCAAAGTGCCTCGCCCAGCCAGCCCAACATTGAGGGGAATACGAGGCACCTGTTTGCGTCGCGAAAACATTTTGTTTATACTCTTGCGAGGGGTAATTGCAATTTCGCGGCATGTTTATTTGTGTGCATTTTTTGTTGGCTTAGTTCGCTTCCTCAAGTGGCGGGTGCTGTCAGGCTGATTACTGATTACTTTTTTATGTGAGAGGGTGTATAAGGCTATTTGAAATGTTGTGTAGTGAGCAATTTTGACGGGAAGTGACTAAATACTTATGAATCTTTGTGATAAGCGAAAGTTGCCAAATTGCAAAAAAAAAAACTATTAATTCGTGCATGTGAATATGCAAACAACTATTGATATTTCAATATGGACACTGAGAGCTTGGAAAAATCCGGACCTACTACAAGAATTAACACTCTTTGGGTTGACCAATTAAAGCCAAATCAAAATAAATTGATTTCAATTCCATGCACGTGCAATGCACTCGCTCAGCCTAGTTAAGACTTTATCATCGGCTGTCTAGAATGCAAATCTTTTATAAACATTAAGCAATTAGTCATTAAAAGGAAGCCAGCTAATCATAGGCGATTTTTATTCATAATACAATAAACAAGTAGAAAAGTAATGATAACGATTTATTAATAGTTCAAGTGACGTCAGCTAGATAAAGTGGATAGCAAAAAAAAAGCATTGGTCGAAAATCTTTGTTAACCAACTAATAATTGATTAACTAGCAGCAATCATGACAATCATCCCAGGTATAAACAATATGAGCATTCTAATCCGCAAGGCCCAAAACAAATTTAATTAACATAACGACTGAATTAACACTTAAACATGAAAAGAGATACAAAAATAAATATAAATGAATGACAAACAAAAATTATAAATGCCAATTTTACAAATTAACGAGCCACAGACGCCGTCGTTTGCGTATTCAGTTAGTAATATTATATGAGTAAATATCGCCGATATGCGTAAATGGGAACCCGTTCCTATAGCTTGAAAGCTTCTGAATGCAATCCAATCAAGACGTCATAACATTCCGACAGCTGACTGCGGAGGAATGCAAGTGACGTCACAGTCATTCGACATCGCGGCACAGGTGCGGATTCACCCGGCATAGCTTGGTCATTGATTGGGTCAGTGTGCGTTGAATCTGTGGTTATGACTCATATGAAAGTCCCCCAAAGAGAAAATCCCAAGACGAACTCATTTTCGTATCGGTCCAAGCAGCAATTAGCCCCATCTGCCGCGTCCTCTTCTTAACACTTCAGTGGCTCATGGCTTGGCTCACCGCGATGCGGTTCCACTTCATATCCACTCAAAAATTATGCACACGCATCAAAAGTGAAGTTGCAGCCAAAGATGCCAGCAAAAGAGAACCACAATGAGCCAGGACCTCCCCCCTAACACCCCCGCATATACTGCTGGTAAACAAGTTTTCGTTTGAGCAGCCAAGTCCCCCCATGATGTGCCATGGGCCAGCTTAAGCTGTGCTTAATAATTTCTTGGGCTGTAAGTGAAACCAGTTTCTCCATATTTCATTGCTGTGTGGGGCCCCGTTCCAAATAATTTTGATGATAGTATATGATTAGGTCCCCAAACTCTTTGTACTATGCAAACTAACGCATTTGGCAAACCGAATTCAAGCCGCACTGGCTGGTAGAAGGCTGGCCCAGCTTTTGACATCCCATGGGATATCGTGTTGTGCTCCAATTATATTGGCCACATAAAAAAAATTACTGCAAAACGCAGTTTTAATTTTCATTCAAATGAAAATAAACAAAGTAAAGTATAATTATTTATAGCTTGTTGATGGGCAAGTTTACCCGTTACCAGGCAACTGTAGACCCAATAGCTGAGCCGGGGAATGCCGGGGGCTAGTGGGTGCAAATGTAGCACGCGTAGAGCGGTAGCAATCCGACTACTCACACTCTCATGTGACTGACAGACCGCAAAGAGCTGCCAACGTTCCAGCTGGCAGTGAGAACTGAGCGAGCATGTGAGCAAGACAGACGGCGAGGGAGAGAGAGAAAATCACGGCCAAATTGGGCTCAGAGCCAGACAAGATATTCAAGCAGCGTCGCTCGGTTAGTTAAGCGCGGTTTGGCATTCGGTAGAGACCTCTGTTTAATCGCATCTTCGTTTGGGAGTTGGCTGATAGTGCGCCATGTCCAAGTACACAAAGCTGGCCCGCGGAATATGCGATCTACTGCTATGGGCAGCCCTCACAGCGGCCAGCTTGCTGCTCTACAAACTGGTGCGACCCTTCAGGCGCGGATTCTTTTGCGGCGATGAGTCACTGGGCTATCCACTGAGGGAGAGCACAATCGGAAGTGCGTTGCTCATCGGAGTGACGCTGGCGGTTCCCACGTCCGTGATCATTGTTGTCGAGCTGTTTAAACAGTTGCCCGCTAGTGCTGGCGGCCGGGATTTGGCGGCACGGGACAAGCGGGACGGCTGCCGTTTGGTGCATCGGCTGGCGCAGCTGTACAAGCAGGCCGGATACTATCTGTTTGGGCTGGCCATGCTAACGTTCACCACGATACTGACCAAGCTGTGCATTGGACGTCTGCGTCCGCATTTCTATGCTGTATGTCAGCCGATGCTGCCAGATGGCTCCACCTGCCAGGATGCACAAAACGAGGGACGCTATATAGATACCTACACCTGCAGCAATGCCAATGTGACGGACTTTCTGTTCCAGCAGCTAAACCAGTCCTTTCCCAGTGGGCATGCCAGCATGATGATGTACTCGATGCTCTACCTGGCCATCTACCTGCAGGCGGCACTCAGCACGCGCATCTCAAAGCTGCTGAAGCATCTGCTGCAGTTTCTGTTCGTCATGTTCGGCTGGTACGTGTCCCTGACCAGGATAACCGACTACTGGCATCATTGGTCCGACGTCTTGGCCGGCGTGCTGTTCGGCGTGCTCTTCGCTTGGCTAACCAGCGTCTATGTGGCTGATCTGTTTGCCTTCAGGCGCTGGAATCGCACTGGCTACTCGGCCAATACGCTGAAGAAGGCCCAGGTCTCCCCGAAGAGCTCTACCAAATCTCAATCCAATGCCGCAGCGGTGTCAGTTGCTGGCAACGGTGTTCCACCCGCACTGCCCGCCTACACCTTTGGCACGCTGCCCTATCTGGCGGCGCATCCGGCTCAAGCGCAGTATGCCCAAACTTATCACAACTATGGCTACGTTCCCTGAGCCGACTATGTAGTGCATGAGGCAGGTGCTTCTGGAGCCTCACAGACGTAATCCCTGTTTTGTTTTTGTAGTTTAGCGTAATAAACATTCGATATTAATTATAATATAGAAAAGTGTTTCACTTTCGAGAATTCGGCAATGAGATGAGAAGTTGATTGATTGGCGCCCACGAGTAAATTCAAAGTAGAAAGTGCGCAATCAATTGGATCTATCGAGCTGTGGGCATAAATATGAGAAGACTTGGCGCATGTTTCACTGAAAGTTAGCTAAGTGGAACCTCTGAATGTTCAGCAATAGACGAGTCGAAAGGCTGCACGCATAGCTAAATCTTTGCAATTGAAAGATTGGCATTCCAGCCAACCAAAAAAATATTCAGGGCATTGTTGCGATTTCATATAAATCAAATAATTGATGATTAAATAATGTCTTAGAATGTGCCGTATAGTTTTACAGTTACTTTGAATTTTCTTTAGAAATACACAATATGGCCAGCCAGTTGAAAAGAACTTAAAATGCCACAAAATACTGTGGAGCTGCAAATAATCAACAGCATTTCTATGGCCCAAATTAGACGTTAGCAAAGCCTACAGCGAAATGGACCTTAGCTAGCCGAGCGACGAGGAGAATAAATTAATAAAGATTTGCATACTTGAGCAATCGATAAACAGCCTGGGAATGCTGCCCACGGCGACTTGGGCTGAGACTTGGGCTGTGCATTGTTTCTGAGTTTCCGACAACAAAGAACGTGCTGAGCCGAGTGGAGGGGGCTTTGAAACAAGTTTTCATGGTGGCAACTAGCTTGGCCCCCCGTAACTACGATAAACATGCAAATTAGCCGCGAACACAGCTGCAAGCCATACCACTTTAGCATCCAAATCTTTGAGCCAGTGTCAAAATGTGCGGCAATCCGAACACCCGACTGCTCGCGCGGCTTATCATTGACTTTCTGCTGCTGCTGGGTGTCTACTGCGTCGCGCTGGTGGTGCTGCCGCAGCAGCTGGTGACAGTCCACCGCGGCTTCCACTGCAGTGATGCCAGTCTGCGGTATCCGTATCGCCAGCCTTGGCTGACCAAGGTGCACCTGACCATGGCGGTGGTGGCGCTGCCCGCGGCTTTCATTCTTGTCGTGGAGTTGCTGAGAGCTGCATTTGTGCCCAGCTCTGCAGAACTGAAGCAGCGTTTTGTCTTCGTCGGCGCACGCATTCCCAGCTTTGTCAGCGAGTGCTACAAGATCATTGGCGTTTATCTGTTCGGATTGGGTCTGGCCCTGTTGGTCATCAGAGTCACCAAGTTCTCGACTGGCCGCCTGCGTCCGTACTTCTTTGACGTGTGCCAGCCCAGCTGGGGTGAGGCTGAGTCCAAAGAGAGCTGCGAGTTGCTCTCGCCGCGCAACGCTTCCCGCTACATTGACGACTACAGCTGCACCGAGTTTGCTGCTTCGCTGGAGCTGCTCGCACTGGTGCGTCACTCGTTTCCCAGCGGCTTTGTGGCCACCACAAGCTACGCCATGTGCTTCCTAGTCTTCTATGCCCAGGCACGTCTTTTTGCGCCCTGGCTGCGAGTGCTGCGTTCAACGCTGCAGCTGGCCTGCGGTGCGGTTGCCATGCTGGTGTGTCTGGAGCGCATCTCCACCTACCAAAACCATTTGTCGGATGTTGCCGCTGGTTTGGCTTTGGGCGTTCTGCTGGCCTCCTTCATGGCTGTCTTTGTGGTGCATCTGTTCAGGCAGGTGAGAGTCAAGCGCCGCCAGTGGCCAAGGAATGAGCAGATCTATGGCTATGCGGGCTACTATAATCGGGCCACATATGGCTATTAAATGTCAAATAGTTCAGTTACAATCGACTCGAGTCAATAAATTAATCTAACAGTTATGCTATTGAAGGTCTTTTTATTAAGGTTCCCAAAATTAAGCTTACTGATCAACACACACCTTTAGCAAAGTTACAAACCAATTTTTATGACTGGCCAGCTTACGATCCACACAACAAGTGAAAGACCACTTCACACTCGCAGTCCACGCTAAGCTTGCTCTCCGCTCTCGCTCTCTATATACTCTTTCCCATCTGTCAATGGCACAACCAGCGTTGGGCAACGATCACAACAACAAGTGCAACATCAACAAGTGGACAAAAGCGTTTTGTTTACAAAGTCAACAACAAACAGCGCTCGACGACGATTCAGTTGCGATCGGCGAGCGGCGCTTCGATGTTTAAATTCGGTTCGGTGCAGTGGCAATAATCGTAAAGCAAATAAACGATCGTAAAGTTAACTTTTATGGTTAATATGCGTAGTGCAGCTGTACGATATTAAACAGAAGGGGCGTATCAATAAGAAATTATAAATAATGCTTTAAGAAAGCCACAAAAGTGAGTAGAAATATATGTATCAGAAATTTACCAGAATAAGAGAATGTTTGACCCTAAAATGAAAACTACCAAATTTAACTGTTAAAAATATTTTAAAAAGAGTTAAGAGAAAAAGCGTAAATTCCCTTAAAAAACGGAATGAAAATACAACGTACTTGTACTATAAATAAAATATATGTACATATGCATACACATGCACATGCGCCTGAATTTAGACATGATAAAATGCTTTTAGGTTTAAAGTTTTCACATTTCACATGTATGCACAAAAAACAAAAATCGTAATAATAATGCATTTAGTGCATTAAGTTCAAAGTGCATTTTAAAATGCCAACGGTTAACCCGCACAACACAAAGTCAAACAGAGGCAAAATAAGCGCCAGCTGCCGCATTCGTGTATGTAATATATGTAGATACATATGCTAAAAAGAGAAACATACACAGACGAGAGCCTTAATTCAATCAAATGTCGCTTATTCATTCAATTAAAGGTCGCGCCATTTGACGTCCCACCAAACGAATACGAGTACGAGTGCGAGTGCGAGTATGAGTACTCACTTGGAGGGGAGGTGAACTCAGTGACATATGAGCGTATGTTTTTTATACCCTGAACCCATTTGAAAAGGCTAAAGAGGGTATAATGTTTTCGTGCAAGTGTGTGGGACAGGGAATAGTGTCTATATATATTCTGGATCAGGACGACAAACTGAGTCGGTCTAGATATTTGGCCAAAATTTTAAAACAAACGGATTTTTTATGTGCTTTGGTATAAACACACTTTTAGAACTCATATTAAAAGTTTGATCTATAAGCACCGAAGTTAGCTTTAAATGCATTGTCCATACATAAAGTGAGTGCATGTGAGGGAAATTAGCCTGCTTGCAAGTAGGTAGATAGATAGCTTAGTCAGGGTATCTGCTAGTCAGTCACGTCCGAACAGAGTACTATTATTTGTTTTTTAATAAAATTGACTGTTTCAACTTTGTGAATGCATGGGTATGTTGCATGTGTTTTGAGGACAACTGCAACTCCCTCAGCCAGACGGCGTTGACGAGCGCAGAGATCAGCCAAAGATCAAAGCACACAATGGGGGCCATTCTTGAGCAAGAAGAGCAACAGATTAGCGTGCGCTCCATGCTCCCGTTGTCGAGCGCGTCTGCGTTGCACTTTCAGCTGCCGCCAGCAGATGATAATGCAAATCTGCAATTGGGTGCGTGCGACGCGCCTATTTTATGCATCATTTGCCCAGAACAATAGACGACTACTTAGCGAACTGATGTACAAATCAAGTGAGTCACTCTCCAACAGCTTATTGACCCAAGATATTGGCCAGAAAATGCCATGCTCTTATCGAACGTCGCAGTAGGTGAAAGCAATATAAAAAACGAACAATGTCTGAGGCGCCCGTTTTGTTTTAAAATTAGCTGAGCATCAATGAACTTGCACAAAAAACTGTTGGGGCAGGTGACGCGGCTGGCGAATCGGACAGAGCAGGCGTGCCTGAGGTGCGTTCTTATCTGGAACACGGGCTTGTTTATCTTATCAAACCGATCTTGAGGCGGTATTTTACTCAAGTTTATCAAGTGTGGCACAATCTACACTGTGCAAAAGGCCGCAGACTTGCGAATTTTTATACTATATGCGCATCGAAAATGCGTAATAATGGGTATTTGGGTTTGCGCAGAAGTAAGAAAAAATTAGCTTATTCGATTTAGGCATGTCTGTCTGTATGTACATGTTTTTTTTTATCGACATCTCTTAACATTTCCAATAAATAGATTGCCAAACTTGGTTTTTAAGCATAACATCAGCACATGAGATTGTCTGTTTAACATATGTAAATGCATCTATAAGTACCTTTATAACTGTGGGGTATAGGGGCTTTTGTAGTCGAGCGCTCTTGCTTTGCAATGCCTTAATTCTACTTTCTTGTGTTTACTTTAATTTCTCACATCGGTCAATTTTTCTTGCAGTGCTCCCGACAAATGCAAATACAAGGTGAATTGGTTGTTGTCTAATCTAGACAAATGCAGAACTCAGCTACATTGCTAAGCTCCGTAATAAACTTGCTCTGACGCAGCCGGCGAGTGAGAGGGCGATCCGGGCGGAGGTTCAGAGAGGAAGAGAGACACAAAAAACAATATGAGAAGCGCGCCGTCGTGCATGAAATGATCGTTAAATTAAAAGAACGTTACCCACTCGAGACCGGATCAGTCAGTTACTGACAACGAACCCGAAACGACGCCAACGAATCCGACGGGTACAAAAATCCAACGAACCCAAACTTAATTAGACAGCATAAAAAATTGGAATATTAACTAATTAAAAACGCATTGAGACCGACGCCGACGCCGACGCCAACTACCGACAAAATGCGCGACGCCGCCAATGAAAATAGCACAGCTCCCGCCGCCCCGACGGACAGAGAAGTGCGGCGTGCCTCCGCCGCCCAGCGCCGAGCGGCGCGCCGCCTGCTCATCGAACTGTTGATCATAGTGGTGCTAACAATACCCATATGCATCTTTGAGTTTGCCGTGGAGCCGGCGCGGCGCGGCTTCTTCTGCGACGATGAGAGCATTCGGTACCCGTTCAGTGACAACACTGTCACGCCCGTGATGTTGGGCCTGCTGTCCGGCGCCCTGCCGTTCATAATCTTTGTTGTGGTGGAGTATGTGCACGCTCTGCGCGCCGGTGAGCTGACGTCGACTGTGGAGC